GACTCTACAACCTCCGGCCCCTGGATGATTTGAGTTTGAGACCCCTGCCTTGAGGAAACCATTCTTATCAAACTTACATATTTGGCCTCAAATCTCTGAGCAATAGCTGCCACATCACTGTTATCCTCATCATCAAAGTTTCCAATAGCATTCCCATGACCATTAATGGGCTGCAATAAAAGAAATTTTAGGATGTTTAAAAAAAAAAGTCTCCTTTATTTGATGGTTTTAAATGATTAGTTTTATATAATGTGTAATTTTTCTTCCAGATCATCCTCATTTGTTTGGTACCCTAGACATATGAAAACGAAAGCCATTGTCACTGTACATTGGTAAGCACTTAATGGATATATATATTTGTATCAGGGATGTCCAACGTAAAGCTAGTACACATGTAAATTTGATCTGTACAGTATAAACAATGATCAAAGTCTAAAACATAAAATCCATAGACTTTTTTTCTTTTTTACTAATGTCTCTCTCTCTATTTCTCCATCCCTCTCCTGGGTACAGCAGTTTCAATTTTCAAACTAAAAATAAAACTATTGGAATAGTTAAGAAAGCCTCTTTAAATACAGGTACCTAGCCAAGTGGGCGAATGCAGTCTAAATTCAAGGGTTGAGACAACGGAGGTTTTTACCCCCCCCCCCCCGCCCCCACCATCAGAGTAGATGCCTCGCTCATTTGAAGAGTCAGTTCTATCATGATATTACCCCACTACCTCTTGTTTGTTAATGGGGCTGTGGATCTGTGACACATTACTGTCATTATCATAGCCATGCCATAGCCCCACATCAACAAAGATGCTGTTTTCATAATAACAGCATTGGCATAACATTTTATTAAGAAATATTAAATTTACTTAACATTCTTTAAATGAAAGGTTATTTGAATTGTTTATTTGTTTTTGTTTTGACTTGGGCGTGAGGAGGGGGGGGGGGCGTTCCAAAGAGGAGAATCTTGTCTTAACTAGAACTATGGGAAAGCAAGCATTTTTTGAAAGAATAGCCTTAAAAAAAAAAAAAAATTATAAATCCTAGAAAAATAATTTGGGGAATCCAGATCGAGGCAGATTGCTAAGTAAATTAAGTATAGTTTTAAAAAAAAATTGTTTAAATTGTAAAAAAAAAAAAA